CAGGTGGTGCAGTACATTGGGGAGACCTGCCGCTACCTGCTGAAGCAGCCCGTGCGGGAGGCAGAGCAGCGGCACCGTGTGCGCCTGGCCGTGGGCAACGGGCTGCGGCCGGCCATCTGGGAGGAGTTCACGCGGCGCTTTGGTGTGCGTCAGATCGGCGAGTTCTACGGGGCCACTGAGTGCAACTGCAGCATCGCCAACCTGGACGGCAAGGTCTCCGCTGCCTCTGCCTGCCTGGCCATGCTCCCATAAAGAGAGCGGCCTGCAGGGGTGTGGAGTAGGGGGCAGGACTAGAGAGAGCTCCTGGAACCCCAAGTGCACCTCCAGAGGGTCCAGCCAGGCATGAAAGGAGCCTTCTCCAGCATGCACAGCCAGTCATGTGACTGTCACCTTTGAGTGGAGGCAGTTCCAGTCCACAGAGTGGCTGTGTGGGCCGGTCAAGCACCTCAAACTTTCTGAGCCTCAGATTCTGCTGTGGAGCTCGGCGGGGATAGCAGGACTCAGGGCACCCAGGGTTGGGGTCAGATTGGGGTGTTGCTGTCCTGCTGGGCGAGTCACTCAGCTCCTTGGGCCTCGGTTTCCTCATCTGTAAATGGTGATACCAGCTCTTTGGGTGTTTTCCTATCACCACAACACCATGAGCTCAGCATAGCCCCCTCCCAGGTAGTGGCTCTGCAGACAGATTCGTTAGTGATTAGCAACCACTGTTTCCATCTCCAGTTCTACCCTCGCCTAGCCCCGCCACCTTCCCCAGCCCTCCCAGCCCAGGCCAGGAACAGATCGTGATGATAACAATAAAGCCAGTACCTTGAAGGGCCGGGATTCTTTTCTGTCTCGTTCGCTGCTGGGTCCCCAGTGCCAAGAACAGTGCATGGTCCCCACCATACACATCGGTTGTGAGTGTGCTAGCTCAGGCCGCTGCCCTAGCAGACACGCCGCCATCGTGGAGCAGCACAAGCACATTGGACAAGCATTTCTGCTCATGAGACTGAGCCGGGCAGGGCAGCGGCAGTGGGCAGCAGCTGTGCCAGCGTCCCACATGCCTCCAGGGCCACCCCAGGCACCTGCTTCCTGCCAGCATGGAGGGTTTTATGGCCTGGGAAGGGGCAGCCAGGCACAGAGCTCCTCATGTGACTGCAGGGAAGGCTGCGAAGGTGGGAGGAGGGGACGTGAGTCCTGGGGGGGTGGGGACACCGCACTTAACACCCCTTTTGCAGATCACCCAAGATCACAGAGCTAAGGTGACTCTAAGGGTGCTAATTCCAAGCCCCAGGACAGGGGAGGCAAAGTGTCAGTGGGGAGGTCTCCGTGCCACCCCCGGGGTCCTTGTGACTTACCTCACCCCATCCCAGGTCGGCTCCTGTGGCTTCAACAGCCGCATCCTGCCCCACGTGTACCCCATCCAGCTGGTGAAGGTCAATGAGGACACCATGGAGCTGCTGCGGGACACCCAGGGCCTCTGTATCCCATGCCAAGCCGGTGAGCAGGGCCCCTGCCTGGTCCTCCGGGGAGCCGGGGTCCCCACCCCCTGCCCACCCAGTGCAGCCTGCGTGTGGCCTCCTCCCCAGGAGAGCCTGGCCTCCTCGTGGGTCAGATCAACCAACAGGACCCGTTGCGCCGCTTTGATGGCTACATCAGTGAGAGTGCCACTAGCAAGAAGATCGCCCACAGTGTCTTCCGCAAGGGTGACAGCGCCTACCTCTCAGGTGTGCAATCTGCTAGATGCTGCGGCGCTGGCTGTGGGGATGGGGAGCCACGACCACCCCTCCCTCTCCCCTCTGCTAGGTGATGTGCTGGTGATGGACGAACTGGGCTACATGTACTTCCGGGACCGCAGTGGGGACACCTTCCGCTGGCGAGGGGAGAATGTTTCTACCACCGAGGTGGAGGGCGTGCTGAGCCGCCTGCTGGGCCAGACAGATGTGGCTGTGTACGGGGTAGCCGTGCCAGGCAAGCTGGGGTTGCAGGGGGTGGTCTTGGGGTGGGACAGGCCCAGGTGAGCCCAGCCAGAAGAGGCTTGAAGGTACAGGTGCCCTGGGGAGTGCCCAACCTGGACAACTGCATGTGGCTGCCTGGGTGGGAGCATTGGATCTGGAGTCAGTTCACATGTGTGATGTTGAGCCTTTGTCTTGTCATCCAGACATTGAGATCGTGAAAGCAGCCCTGTCTCAGGGCTCTGTAAAATGTTGGCGGCTTCAGTGAATGTTATCCCAGGTGGGGGAGGACTGGAGATCTGAGGCCAGGAGCTTCTATTTGAGGGTGTATGTGGTCCTGCCCTGTGGGGGAAAGGGGTTGGGTGTTCTCAGCTGAGCCTCTCTCTCCAGGGGTAGAGGGCAAAGCAGGCATGGCAGCCATCGCAGACCCCCACAGCCAACTGAACCCTAATGCAATGTACCAGGAGCTGCAGAAGGCCCTGGCACCCTATGCCCGGCCCATCTTCCTGCGCCTCCTGCCCCAGGTGGACACCACAGGTGCGGTCCCTGTCTCTCCATCCATCCGTCCCCCTGTCAGTTCAGCAACTATTTGCCTGTTTGTCCTCATTTGGGCCCCTGTGCTAAGTCTGACATAACGGTGCATGATCAGCTGGTGCTGCGGGCTCATGCTGGACCCTTTACTTACCTAGTTATTTATCTCCATTCCTTACTCCCTCCTCCCACTCAGCACACTGAAATGTTTGGTGCATCTTTCTCATTTTCTGCATTCTCCTGATACTAAGAAATGTGATCGAATCCTCTTGCACCTTGTAGGTTTCCTCTGCTGTCAGTTGCCCTTATCATTTGCCTATCTTTGCATTGTCTTGCTTTTCCTTTTGGTTGGCAGGAGTTCCTTGTAATAGTCTAGATGTTAATTCCTCATTTTGTGAGCATGTATTTTTAGTTCACAACATATTCCTGTATTGGCCAGATGCCAAAAAAAAAGCAACAACAAAAAACATGGTAATGACAGATATTTACTTAGTGCTTGCTTTGCACTCAGCCTTATACATCTCTTCACTTATTTACTTCTCATCCATAGAGTACGTGCTGTTCCTACCAGGTTGACAGATAAAGAAACAGGCACAGAGAGGCCAATTATTCTCCCTGAGGTCACCCAGCCAGCAAGTGGCAGAGCCCGGGTTTGAACCCAGGTGTCGGGCTCAGGGTGGTCTGTGCTCCCGGCCACAGTTGGCTTTGTTTCTCTTTCTGCTCTTTTCTTGGTTCTGCACTGTACAATTTTTTCTTTCTTTTTTTCCATTTTTGTTGTTTTTTTGGTTTTGTTTTGTTTTTTTGACCTGTATTTTTAAGATTCGTCCATGTTGCTAAGTGCACGCTGGTCTGCTGCTCGTCTGTCCACTCCTTGTGTCCTTGTGATGACACCCAGGGGGCTCCCACCTTGTCGCCTTGGCAGTGCAGAGCCCTCAAGTGTGTGTCCGTCTGCCTGGGGATTATTCTGCTGTCAGTGTTTTGCCAACCTAATACTTGTAGAATGTCTCATTCTTATTTGCATTTTTCTAAGAAGTGTGAGTAAATCATCTTGTGCCTTTTTCATTTTCTCCTCTGTAAGTTACCCATTCATATCTCCCACCTGTCTTTATATTAGTGGTGCCGTCTTTTTCTTTTTGATTGGCGGGTGTTCCTCGCAGTGGACTGGGCGTTAATTCCTTAGCGTTTCAGACATCATAGGTTCTTCTCCTGTTAACTTTGTCCATGGCGCCCTTTGTCGAAAAGAAACCCTTCACACTGATACAAACAAATTTGTCCTTTTTTATTTTAGTCTTTCTTTATTTTTTGTCTTTCTTTTCTCTCTCTCTTTTTTATTTTTATTTTTTTGGCGGCTGGCTGATACAGGGATCCGAACCCTTGACCTTGGTGTTATAACACTGCACTCATAACCAACTGAGCTAACTGACCAACTCGTATCCTTTTTTCTTTAATCTTTTGGCTTATGCTTTTGATGTTTTGTTTTTAAAAAGTACCTTTCCAGGCCGGCCCGTGGGCTCACTTCAGAGGGCGTCGTGCTGACAACACCAAGTCAAGGGTTAAAAAAGTACCTTTCCCACTCTAGAGCACAAAGGCATCCAACCTCACGTTCTTCTATCAACCCTAACTCTTAGCGTGACTGTTCACAAAATCATTCTATAATCAGCCACAAAAGGGGTGCAAACTTTTTCTTAAAGGAACAGTCAATATTTTCAGCTTTGTGGGCTATAAAGTGTCTGTTGCAGCTACTCACCTCTGCTGTCCTACCACAAAAGCAGCCATAGACAATGTGCAAATGAATAGGCATGGATGTGTGCCAATAAAACTTTATTTACAAAAAACACATGGTGGGCCAAATTTGGCCCACGGGATGTAGGCCGCTGAGGTTGCTGAACTCTGATCCACAATGTGAGAGACACAGTTCTGCCTGTCATGTGGCAGATGGACATGTGACCAGGCAGGGAGTACTCAGAGTCTCTTGCAGTGGTACGGGTGGTCAGGGAAGCCTCCCTGGAGGAGAGGGCACAAAACCAGGATCAGAAGGACAAGGAAAAATGAGGCAAGCAGAATAGGGGAGAATGTTCCCAGCAAGAGGATGGCCTGTGCAGAGGTGCAGGAGAGAATGGTGAGTTGGGGGCTCCTGAAAGCCCCCTGCATGGCCCTCATTCACCCCCCACCCTCCACCCCACAGGCACCTTCAAGATCCAGAAGACAAGGCTGCAGCGTGAGGGGTTTGACCCACGCCAGACCACAGACCAGCTCTTCTTCCTGGACCTGAAGCAGGGCCACTACCTGCCCCTGGATGAGGGTGTCTACACCCGCATCTGCTCGGGTGCCTTCGCCCTCTGAGGCTTCTCCCTGCTGGCCAGAGACTCCCAACTGGGGCCAGGAGGTGGGGCGGGTTTGAGCCACAGCCCTGCCCCGTGGGCTGCTGCCTCCCGCCTGCCAGCCTACTTGGCTGAGCTGCACCTGGCGGGGCTGGAGCGAGAACTGGAACTTTGGAGGAGCCTGCGTCTCCCTCCTGTCTTCAGGCCCCCCTGTCTGCATCTTCCTGTCCCCTCCCTGCTTCTCGGCCTCCATGTCGCTTCCAGTCCTTCCACGTCCCTGTTTGGCCTCATCTCTTTCCTCTCTCTTCTTCATCTCTCCTCCACTCTCCTGCCAAGAGCAGAGCTGCATCCTGTGCAGGGCCCCGCTGTCCTTGGGACCTCTGTGGGTCGTCCCTGCTGGGCGCTGGATCCAGAATGGGGCCTCCCCACCTCCCTCTTGGCTGTGCCTTAAGGAGCCCCAGTTCAGGCCTCCCTTGGCTGCTGGGCTGCAGACATGGCAGCCCCGTGGGGACACCAAGCAGGCCCTCCACCCTCCCTGCTGAATGGAGGAGCCGGCAGTGGTCTGCCCAGCCCAGCCTGGGTGTGGGGGGACATTGGCAAGGGTTCCCCAGGTCAACTGGAAACATAACCCGGGCTGGGCCAACAGCCTTTGGCACGTCCTGGTCCCTGATGCCCTGAAGACCCATCTTCCCTTCTTGATGCCCTGGAAGCTTCCAGGATTGACTGTGACCATTTGGATGTCACCATTGCCTGCCCCACTTAGATGTCCCTTATCAAGTGTCTCCACAGAGCTCCTGCTGGGGGAGCCCTGAAGACTGTGCTGGGTGGCTGCCCGGCCAACTGCTTCCTGTCCTTGGCAGAGCCTCTTGGTGTCCCCATCTGGCATGGCTGCTGGAGGGACCCATGGGGGTGGCAGCATGGGGTTGGAGGAGGTCTCCTGCCCCAGGTTGGCATCTGAGATGGCCTCTTAGGCCTCAGGGGTTCTGGCCTGTTGGATGTCCCCCCAGTGGTGACTCCTTAGATGTCCCCACTGGTCTTGCAGACCATCAGTTGGTGGTGACATCCTGGTCAGTCCTGGTGGGACGGCTCAGACATGTCAGTGGCTCATCTTGGACCCCTGTGCCAGCCTTGTTGGGGCTGGCCACCCAGACACCTGTCCATCCGTCCTCCCTCAATCGGTGGGGCCAGTGGTGAGCAACCTTTGCTGTCTCACATGGACTTTTCCAAGCACCAAGGCTTTGTTTCCTCTTTGATTTTAAAAAATAAACCTGCGAGCTTCTGATGCCTGCTGGGAGTCCAGTCATTATTGTCTGTCCTCATGTGACACAGAACCCCTTCTGAGCTTCAGAAGTCAGGACTGGGCGGCCCCCACCAGGGACACACACACTCCAGACACAAGCAAGACACACGTGGCCTTTTCTCACTGCCTCCCATTTCCTCCCCCTCCCCAGCCCATCTGCAAGGGGGCCTTGGGACAGGGGACACTTGGGTTAGCATTCTTGCCACACTGCCGAGGAGGAGCCACCTCTCTGCAGCCTCTGGAGTTTCTCAAAACCTTGCATGGGCCTCAGTGGCCCCAGGGGAGGGGTGGCCAATCTGCTGTGTGTTCTGGCAGGTGCTTCAGGAGGGCGCAGGACAGAGGGTGTGTCCGGGTGCATCTGGCGGCCCAGAAGGTGTCCCTCTGTGTACGGGGCTGGCAGGGGTGGGGGCTCTGGGTGCTGGAAGCTGCTAGGGATTTGAACCCAGGACATCAGGTCTGGAGTTTGTGCTCTCAATTCCCACCTCTGCTGTTCCCTCCCCTCCAGTGTCATAATGTCTGCCTCATCTTGTCTCCACCTCGGGACAGAAGGTGACAGAGGAACAAAGGCTTGTGACAGAGTGTTTTCTGGGAGGGGATGCTGAGGGGGCCACCTGGTGTGCCCATAAGCAGGTGCATTCTGGCTAACATCTCGTCAGACCTCACGACCACCCCACGAGGTGACATCATGGTCCCCGTTGTACAGACGAGGAAACTGAGGTGCAGGGAGGGGAAAGAAGTCATTGCCAGGGGCTCTCGGGGAGAAAGTGTCCCAGTGTACATCTTGTTCCGATGTCTGTGACTGTGGCTGCAACAGTGTTTAAGTCTCTCTGTGTTGGTGAGAAAACAATCTGATGACTCAGGATCAAGCTCTGTGTTGGTTTCTTTAATTAATAAGACTTTAATTTTTAGAGCAGTTACAGATTTACAGAAAAATGAGCTGAAGTATGAGTGCCCCCGTGTGCCCTCTCTCCTCCACCCGTTTCCTCCACCATTAACACCTGGCATGAGTGCCACATTTGTTACAGTCGGGCAAGTCCACTACTCAAGTCCACAGGGAATGTGAGGGTTTGCTCTCGGCCTTGTACAGTCTATGGGTTTAGAGAAATGCATAATGCACTGTATCTACCATTGTGGCATGTCGAGCTAGGGCTGAGTCTGGAGCTCACAGACGCCTCAAGCCCGTTTGCAGGCTGGGTCACAAACCCTTCACACACAGGTCTAGGAGCTAGGTAACTGGCAAAAAGGTCCTTGGAGCCGTTGGTTCGAGAGCATGGCCACGCAGGGTGGATGTCTGAGGCAGTAAAGGACAGCCAAGTCGTGGCACCGCACATGCGCCCTAACTCCACCCACACACAACTTGTTTACAAAGAATGTGCCGCACCACCCCCAACCAGACCTAAGGCAAGGGGGCCTGATTAAATCTATTTTCCCAACATGGCATCATACAGAGTAGCTTCCCTCCCCTAAAAATCCCGTGCTCCACCTGTCATCCCTCCCTGCCCTCCACCCCCTGGCAATCACTAATCTTTTTACTGTCTCCATAGTTTTGCCTTTTCCAGAATGTCACAAAGTTGGAATCACAGTGTGTAGCCGTTTCAGACTGGCTTCTTTGACTTTGCAAAATACATTTAAGATTCCTCTGTGCCTCTTTGTGGTTTGAGAGCTGGGTTTTTTGGGGGTTTTTTCTTTGTGGCTGGCCAGTGCAGGGATCTGAACCCATGACCTTGGAGAGCTGTTTTTAATGTGCCCAAATGTAGGCTGGCCTTTTAGCTCAGTTGGTTAGAACACAGCTTTGTAACACTAAGGTCAAGGGTTTGGATCCCTGCAGTGGTCAGCCACCAAAAAAATCCCCAAAACAATGTACCTAAATAAATGAGCAGCTCCGTGACTTGCCCCAAGACTGCTTGGTTAAGTCAGAAGGACAACCAGGATCAGAAGGCACAATGCACCGAGCCTCTTCTTTACAGGGTGGCCCCGGAACAATGTGCAGAGGGGACATTTGTCCCTGTGATACCAGAAGAGAAACTCGCCTCAGCCTGGTGTCCACACATGGGCCATAGGCAGTATGGGAGGGATGAGGGAAGAGAGACAGACGCCAAAGAGGGCGTGTGAGGACGGTGAGTTGGGGCGAGGAGAGGTGGTGCAGGCTGGCTCCTGCCCTTTGCCCTTCAAGGGTCTCCATCGCTCTTAGGGGAGGGTCTAGGCTGAGCACACAGGCCCTTCAGGCTTTCCCTCCATCATAGCTGGTCGTCTGTAGCCGGGGTCTGGCTTCTGTGCCTTTGCTCCTCCTGTCTCCCATGCTGGGGACATCATCTTTCCTCCCCTCAGCTGGCCAATGCCTACAGATGGATTGATTGATCTTTTGCCAGTTGGCTAGTATGGGGATCCGAACTCTTGACCTTGGTGGTCATAGCACCACGCTCTAACCAACTGAGCTAACTAGCCATACCCGGATTATTTTTTAATTGAGATGTCGTCTGTATACCATAAGATTCACCCTTTTAAAGTGTATAATTCAGTGGCATTTAGCACATTCACAACATGTGCAACCACCTCCTCTATCTAGTTCCAGAACATGTGCATCCCTCCAAAGGGAGACCCCGTCCCCATCAGCAGTTACTTCCCTCCCTCCCCCAGCCCCTGACAGCCACTAATCTGCTGTCTGTCTCTAAGGTTTTGCCTGTCCTGTACGTTTCATATCCATGGAATCACACCCTGTGTGGCCTTTGGTGTCTGGCTTATTTCACTCAGCGTGATGATTTCAAGGTTCATCCACATTGTAGCGTGTGTCAGAGCTTCATTCCTTTTTATGGCTGCATAATATTCCACTGTGTAGTCACATTCCATTTTGTTTAACCCTTCACCAGTGAACTTGGGTTGTTTCCACTTTTTGGCTATTATGAATAGTGTGCTATGAACATTCATGCACAACTTTTTGTGTAAACATATGTCTTTAATTTTCTTGGGCATATACCTTGGCATGGAAATGCTGGGTCATGTGTTTATGTGTGACCTCTTGAGGAACGGCCAGACTATTTTCCAAAGTGGCTGCACCATTTTACATCTCCCCCAATAGCACATGAGGGCTACAATTTTCCACATCCCCACCAGCACTTATTATCTGCCTTTTTGCTTACTGTATATGGTATGTTACTTCCCAGTGGGTGCAAAGTGATATGCAATTGTAGTTTTTGCATTTCCTTGATGGCTAGTGAGCAGGGCATCTTTTTGTGTGTGTATCTTTTTTGGAGGAACATCTATTCAGATTCTTTAGATTCTTTGCCCTTTTACAAATAGAGTTCTTAATATATTCTGTATACTAGATCCTTATAAAATGTAAAATTTGCAAATATTTTCTCCCATTCTGTGGGTTGTCTTTTCTCTTTTTTTTTTTTTCCACTTTTTTCCCCCTGGAAACCGAAACGGCCCATATTCACTTTTCTTGATAGTATCCTTCAATCACAAAAGTTTTTATTCTGATGTCCAGTTTATCAATTTGCCTTATTGCTTGTGCTTTTGGTGTTGTCGTCTGGCCCAGGGGCGTGCAGATCCATGCCTTTGTTTTCCACTGACTGTTTTTTTGGGTTTAGCTCTTATATTTGAGTCTTTGATACATTTCAAGTTAATTTTTATATATGGTGTGCCATTGGGGTCTGTACTACTTTTCTAATACTGCTATAACAAATTATGGCAAACTCAGTGGCTTAAAATAGCACTAAGTTTCATCTTACAGCTTGGAAGGTCAGAACTTAGAAACGGATCTCACAGGACTAAAATCAAAGTGACTGCAGGGCTGGTTACTTCCGGAGGCCCTAGGAGAGAGTTCATTTGCTGCCATCCCTCCGGTTCTTCCTATCCTGCCTCCCTCTTGCATTTATAAGGACCAATTAGATTCCATTGGGCCCATCGGATAATCTATTTTAAGGACAGCTGAATAGCAACCTAATGTCATATGCAATAATTTCCCCCTTGCCAAGTATCCTGATACATTTACAGGTTCTGGAGATTAGGGCATGGGCTTCTTTGGGGGTCCATTATCCTGCCTCCCACATCCAACTTTTGCATGTGGCTATCCCATTGTCCCAGCACCATTTGTTGGAAAGACTATTCTTTTTCCATTGAATAGTCCTGGCGCTTTGCCAAAGATCAGTTGACCATAGATGTGTGGGTTTATTTCTGCACCCTTAGTTCTACTCATTGATCTACATGTCTATCTTTATGTCAGTACCACACTGTCAATTTACAGCAACAACAAAAAAACCCAATACCACACTCTCTCACCATAGGTTTTTTTTTTTTTTTTTAAAGGTGACTGGCAAGGGGATCTTAACCCTTGACTTGGTGTTGTCAGCACCACGCTCTCCCAAGTGAGCTAACCGGCCATCCCTATATAGGAATCCGAACCCGTGGCCTTGGTGTTATCAGCACCACACTCTCCCGAGTGAGCCACTGGCTGACGCTCACTGTAGCTTTGTAGTAAGTTTGAAATCAGGAAGTGAGTCCTCCAATTTTGTTCTTTTTCAAGATTATTTTGGCTATTTGGGGGCCCCATGCAATTCCTTTTTAATTTTAGGATTAACTTCTCATTTCTACAAAAAGGGCAGTCAGAATTCTGATAGGGATTATGTGGCATCTACAGGCCAATTTGGGGAGTACTGTCATCATAACCAAATTACATTTCCAATCCATGAACATGGGATGTCTTTCCATTTATTTAGATCATATTTAACTTTTTTTGGCAAAGTTTTACGGGTCTCAGGGTAGAAGTCTTCCACTTCTTTTGTTAAATTTGTTCCTAAGTGTTGTATTATTTATGATGCTATGGTAACAGAAATCGTTTTCTTAACTTGCTACTGATTTAAAGATACACTACCTGAGTCTCACTGCACTTACTATACTCCACTAAATAGTCCCACCGTCGGAAGTGGTCCAGTTCCCCAGGTCTACCAGGTCTCCTCCCCCTTCTAACCTGCTGCCCACACTACTCCCTGAAATACCCTTCCATATCAGCCAAGGCCTTCTTGTCCTAGTCTGTGAGCTCCTCCAGGCAGGAGACAGGCTGGAGGCCACTCTGGCTCCTCAGAGGGACACAGCAGCTCCCTTGGCCCTGAGCGCATTTGCTGAAGGAATTCAACAAGCACGTTTTAGGACCTACTTTGTGCCAGGCATAGTTCAGAGGGCTTGAGCGGCAACAAAACAAATATCCTTGACCTTTTGGAGCTGATAACCAAAGAATTTGCTCTGACCAGGGCAGCTAAATTAAAATGCCTTGGGAGATCTGGGATAAGTCAGTAATCATGTCCACCTGTGCTGGAAAATGTTATCATAACACCATTTTATTCAGAAGCAGCCATAATGGCACCAGAAAATAACCTAGAATACTTATTACCCTTACCCTAGATTCCTGCAGGTATGCTGTAACCTAGTAACAGTCCCAAATCTCTGTGTCATGTACAACCAACAGAAAGCCTGAAGAAGCAATTAGGCGGGGCTGTCTTTCTCCTTTGATCCTTTCCCCACATTTGCAGGGTGACCTGATCTATGTGTCTCCCTAGTTGCAATTGTCATGTTGGTTCAATAAATCCTTGCTACATGTATTTGGTCTCAGTTTCTTTTTAGGTCAACAGAGATTATTTGTTAATTAAGAAAGAGAAGAGCTGGCCAGTTAGCTCAGTTACTTAGAGCGTGGTATTATAACACCAAGGTCCGGATCCCCATACTGGGGGTAAAAAAAATTAAAGAGCGACAACAAGGAGCAAGAAAGTACATATGTTAAAAGGTGTGGAACCGCCAAAGCCCACCAGGGCACCTTTCGGTGTCTCCTCCCGTGCTCCCCTCTCCAGCCCTCCCAGACGCCATGAAGTTAAGGAGTGGGCCAGGCACATACAGCCCAGGCACAGCTTGCAAGGAATAAGGGGCGTCCATCTGGGGACCCAGGGTATGGAGCCGGGGAACCGGACCCCCCTCCCACAACCAGGCCCACTGCACCAGTGCTTTGGGGTGTGCCTAGGGACCCCGAAGAAGCTGGGGACCGGACCCCCCTCCCATAACCAGGCACACTGTGCCAGCACCTCGAGACCCACTTGGGGACCCAGGGCATGGAACAGGGGATCGGATGTTCTCCACAACCAGGCACACTGCCAGCACCACGGAGCAGGCCAAAAACATCTCCATGTGGGTGGTCCACCAAAGCCACCACGATAACCATGGCTGCTATGAAGGCGGCTAGATGTCACAACCACCACGCAGATGGTCCACCAGCCACTGGAGTGAGTTGACACAAGGAGTCACCAGCAGAGTTAAAGAAAGGAGGAAGATGTCTGTCTCCACAGAGTCCATTTCATAGTGACGGAAGAGACATCTGCTCTATGATAGTATTGGGGGACCTGATCACGCCTCTCAGCATTGGACAGATCATTTGGGCAGCAAATCAACACAGTAAGCATTATTCTTTCAGAGGGAGAGAAGAAATCTAGGGTGATTAGAGGGGGGAGGAGGAGAAGGGGGATGGGGCTGGATTGGACAAGGGGCATAAAGAATAATTACAATTTGTAACAATATATATGCTTTTAATATTGATTTGATCAACATATCTCAGTGTTGAACCCCCGAAATATGTATAATCAATTTTGGTTCAATAAAAATTAAAAAAAAAAAAAATATATATATATATATATAAAAGAGGCGTGGCTGGACCGACTGCCCGGCCCTGCTGTGGCTTCATTTGCGGAAGTGCGCGTGTGCCAGAGGCGGCCGCCCAAACGACCCTGCGCCGTGAGGCCTACCGGCCTTCGCGCAGGCGCACTGACGGCCACCGGGAGCGCTTCCGCCTCCCCGCTGTCGCCATGGCCGCGCCGGCCCCGGGCCTGATCTCGGTCTTTTCGAGCCCGCAGGAGCTGGGCGCGTCCCTGGCGCAGCTGGTGGCGCAGCGGGCAGCATGCTGCCTGGCGGGAGCCCGTGCCCGCTTCGCGCTGGGCCTGTCGGGGGGCAGCCTCGTCTCCATGCTAGCCCGCGAGCTGCCCGCCGCCGCCGCCCCCGCCGGGCCCGCCGGTCTCGCGCGCTGGACGCTGGGCTTCTGCGATGAGCGCCTCGTGCCCTTCGAGCATGCCGAGAGCACGTACGGGCTCTACCGGGTGAGAGCTACGGGGGCCGCTGGGGGTCATACTACCGAGAGAGCGGTTCCCACCGCCTGAACCTCGGCTACGGGGGCCGCCGGGGGTCATACTGGAAGTCCACGCCCACCGCCTGAACTTCGGCTACGGGACTGTAGGTTCTCCCCATGTCCTCGGCCGTTATCGGGGCAGGGCTGGGAATGGTCTGGGTGCGCCGACTTCTACGTGGGTGGGCCGATGGGGGTTTTGTAGTCCCTCTTCATGCTCTGTCCGGTGACCTGGCAGAGGGAACGGCAGGGGCAAAGGCCTGGCAGTGTAGCCGAGTGGCCCGTTTGTGCAAGGACAGTTGCAGGAGCCGCGCAGGAGGGGTCGGGTGGAGCCGGGGCCTCAGTGCTATCATCTCTCACCTGGCCGAGTTCTCGGTGGCCTCCAAGCAGCTTGCAGCTCTGATGACCTGGTTATCTTTGGCCTGGGACCCCTGGCCCCTATAGAACCAGGGGAGCACCCTCGTTTTACAAACAGGGACACTGAGGCTTGGAGGAGCCGTGGTGAGTCAACTCCTCCTGCCCTGAGGAGAAAATTCCAGCCCAGAAAGGGGCTGGGGAGTCCTGCATGGCCAGGAACCTCATGTCACCCGAGCCAGGCCCTGGGCAAGGGCTTCCAGGTCCTGGGTGTGTTGCATTCTCTTTGCACAGAAACTTGGTGGTTTTCTGTTGTTTTTTCATAATAAGAGGGAAGGTTTACCAAGCCCTTCATATGCATCGTCTCATGAATCCTCACCACCGCCCGCGAGGCACGGGCTGTTATTACACCCATTTCACAGATGGGGAAACTGAGGCTGGAAGAGGAGCGCTTACCTGTCCAGCTCACCTACTGGGAGGAGGGAACTATGGGTGGGGCGGGGATTTGGACCCCCGCCCACCCGATTCCAGAGAGACACCTACCACACATCTCACAGTGGCAGGAGCCACCCTTCATACCCACCTTCCTGTGTATCTTCCCCAAGAGCTTCATTAAACAGTGGGCATTTGTTTCTTCCTTTGCGTGGGTATTTCAAACTTTGCGTTTTTTTAAATTAGGAAAACGGTACATGCTCCAGTGGCAAAAGTCTAACCAAACAGTAAAAGAGAAAATGGCACAGGTGTTCATTGAGTTTTCCCTGTTTGTGGGACCGTGGGCCCAGTGCTGGGGACACAATGGGGACTTGGGCAGTTCCCTCACGGGGCTCACAGTGGGGAGATGGGCGCCAACACACAGGACTATGAAAAAGGAAAGTCCACTTGGAGCATTAACAATGCAGTGCAGAAAGAGGGCCGGCCCATGGCTCACTCGGGAGAGTGCGGTGCTGATAACACCAAGGCCCCGGGTTCGGATCCCATATAGGGATGGCCGGTTCGCTCACTGGCTGAGCGTGGTGCTGACAACACCAAGTCAAGGGTTAAGATCCCCTTACCGGTCATCTTTTTAAAAAAAAAAAGAAAGAAAGAAAGAATAGTGCTGGGCTGGTCGGTTAGCTCGGCTGGTCAGAGTGCGGTGCTGTAACACCAAGGTCAAGGGTTCGGATCCCTGTAGGGCGAGTGGCCAAAAAAAAAAAGTGTGAAATGATAGCCCTGGGGAAGAGGCCTTTGTCAACGGAGGTTGTGGGGACACTGAGGAGGTGACATTTGAGCTGAGACCTGGAAGATGTGCAGGAGCTGGCCACGGTGAATGGGGGCAAAAAGGCACAGCCAAGTTGAAAGCCATGCAGTGGGAACATACGTGAGCCAGGACTTGCTGCTTCTGCCGGTTCCCCTGTGAGGGGTATCAAATTAGTTCCCCAGGCAGAATAACAAATGTTCGCACACTGGGGGCTTAAAACAATAGGAATGGATTCGCTCACTGTCGGAAGCCAGGGGTCTTAATTCAAGGTGTCATCAGGGTCATGCACCCTCTGCAGGCTCTAGGGGAGGACCCTTCCTGACTTTTCCAGCTTCTGTGGGCGCCATGCAATCTTTGGCTTGTGGCCGTATCACTTCAGTCTCTTCCGTCTCTGTCCTCACATGGCCATCTCTGATTCTTTCTGTGTGTCCTCTCATATCGTATAAGCACACCAGTCATTGGATTTAGGGCCCACCCTAAATAGTATGACCTGTTTTAAAATAATTACATTTGCAAAGTCCCTATTTTTTTTTTTTACTGACCGGCAACGGGATCACAACCCTCCGTGTTGCACCCGCACGGTGCTCAGCCAGTGAGCGGGAACCGGTCTCCACATGGGATCCGAACCCTCCGCCGGGAGCGCGGCCGTGCTCCCAAGCGGCGCACTCTCCAGCGCGCCACCAGGCTGGCCCCAAAGTCCCTATTTTTAAATCAGGTCACATTCTGAGGTTCTGGTTGGACATGAATTGGGGGGACACTATTCAACCCACTACAGGTATGTGGGGGCATTTCCCTCCTGGAGGAGGGACCCCATGTACCTTGGAGCTCTCAGCCTGGCTTTTTGCTGCTCACCTGCACCATCATCCTTCCACTGCTGAGACCCGAGCTTCATCGGGGTGGGAGGATTAGCTGGGGTTGCCTCTCTGGGAACAGTCCCACAGACCTCCAGAATGTTAAGAGAGAACCAGCCCAGATCAACCAGCAGTTCCACTTTCACGAACCTGCCTGATTGATGACACTCCAGCCCCAGGCTCTGTGGAAAGCCCAGCCTGACCTGGGGAGTCCTGTGCCTGTGACCAGTTGAGAGGGAGCTCCCAGGAGAAGCCTGTGAGGGAGGCAGGACAGGCAGGGCAGGGGGGAAAGATTTGGGCTCAGGAGTCACCCAGCCTCAGCTTGTCCCTCCCCCTGGGATTTTGTAACCAGGGCATCAGTGGGTCATTGGCTCTAGGCCACCCCAGGATGTGGACATCTCCAACATCTCAGCACTAGAGGAGGAGGAGGGAGCAGCTCTGAGCCTGTAGAGGATACTCAGAAGCCAAGGGAGGTACTCAGCTGACCAAATGGGGCATCAATATTCCCTCCTGGCTTTGCTCAGTGAAATCCCTGAGAGGGTGTGTGTAGGTGGTGACTGCTATGGTCTGAATGTCTCCCCCAGCCCCCAGCCCCAGAATCCATATGGTGAAATCCTAACCCCGAAGGTGGTAGTCGCCTTTCAGAAGTGATTAGGTCATCAGGATGGAGCCCTTATGAATGGGATCAGTGCCCTTACAAAAGGGACCCCAAAGAGCACCCTTACCCTTTCCACCATGTGAGGACACAGTGAGCAAGTGCCATCTGTGAACCAGAAAACAGGCCCTCACCAGACACCAAATCTGCCAGCACCTTGATCTTGGACTTCCAGTCTCCAGAACTGTGAGCAGTAAATTTCTGTTGTTTATTATCCACCCCAGTCTATGGTATTTTGTTACAGCTGCCGGAATGGACTAAGATAGGGACTTTAGATGAAGCAGAGAGGTCTTTCCAACAGCAGATCTGACCGTGTCTCTCCCCAGCTCATACACCCTCCTTGGCTCCCTGTTACCCTCGATATAGAACCTACACTGCTCAGGCCCGCACTTAGGGCGCTTGGGCTGGTGGATCCCACAGCCTTCCACCTCAGCTTCAGACACACTGGGTTTCTGCCGCTTTTCCTTTGTGGCTCAGCTTGGCATTGCCTTAGTGGAGGTAGACTCTGCATGAAGGCAAGACACCAAGGGAGGGTCACAGTCTCAGAACAGATCGAAAGCCCCAGGGCACATCTCACTGGGAGAGGGCTGGAGCCCTCACTTGCAGGAGGCCTGACTCCAGGTGCTACCAAGTTAAATCTGTCACTGTTCATTGGCCAGGGTTCCTGCTGTGTGCTGGGCATGGGCAGGCCTGGTCCCCCCATAGTGGGGGAGGTGCAGGCAGGAGTGGCTGCTCAGAGGAGTTAGCCTGAGGGGTGTATAGGAGTTTCCCAGGCAGGGATGGGATAGAGGAGGCGGCTGGGGAAGGCATCAGGGCCTCACGGAGGACAATAAGGGGCTGGGTTTTATCCCAAAGACCGAGGGCCCCTGGAGGCTTTGAAACAGGGCCGTGGTGTAGCTGACAGGTGCAAGGCATGACAGGAGGGCCCTGCTCCCCATCACAGTGGACTTAGAAGACCTCCGGTGGAACTCTGGCTGCAGCACTCGGGCCACCTTTGCTCCTCTAGGGGCCCAAGGGTAGGAATGACCATGATCCTGACTCACCCAGGATGGCCACCCTCCCACCCCAGGGACCCTCCTGCCCAGCCCCCTAGGGCAACAGGACTCCCACTTCCCCTTGAACCTCCTCTGCCCTGAGAGGCAGTGTTGCCCAGGGCTCAGGAACCAGGTTTCCGGGCCCCGAATGCATCACTCATTGACTGAGGGACTTTGAGCAAGTGCACAGGTCTTCGTGTGCCTCAGTCTCCCCATCTGTAAATGGGTATAACGACAGTACCATCCACGAGGCGTCACCTGGAGGATCTAGGTGGTCATATTACTCTTGGTGACATTGTCCCGCCATTGTCCCTCTGTCTGCCGCAGGCACACCTGCTGTCCAGACTGCCCATCCCAGACAGCCAGGTGATCACCATTAACCCCGAGCTGCCCGTGGAGGAGGCGGCTGAGGACTACGCCAAGAAGCTGAGACAGGTGAGTCCTGGGAGCGGCTACACCAGAGACCGTGTCCACGAAGTGGTCCCATCCTGAGCAACAGAGCAGCCTGTGTGATTGTCACCAGCAGAAACTGCCCTGGGGGTGGTCAGCACATCCCTTTGAGGACACTCCTTTGAGAGGCCACAGCACTGCCTCGGGGAGCCTGAGGGCTGCCTGGCCTCATATGCCCCGGTAGTGGGTCTAGGTCCTCCCCTCCTGTGGCTTTCAGCCAGTGAAACAGGTGAAATGTGGAACCATGTAGATCAGTGTCCCTTTGATTGTGGGCGAGGCTGAGCATTGTCTCCTGTGTAACACCTACTCCTATTTCTTTGTCTGACAACTGTCTCTGTGTGTCGTTTGAGCCCCCACCTCACAACCTCTTGGACTGTCTTCTCCCCCTGCTCAGGCCTTCCAAGGGGACTCCATCCCGGTTTTCGACCTGCTGATCCTAGGGGTGGGCCCGGATGGCCACACCTGCTCACTCTTCCCAGACCACCCCCTCCTGCAGGTGAGCACACCAGCGCAGGGTACAGGTTCCACTCTTGTCCTGAGCCTCAGCCCCTGGCATCTGGGACTTCCAGAGGGAGGGCTGCCTGCTGGGGTGGGATGCCCAGACCCAGGATTTGAGTCGACCTCCACCAACATAGATGCCTCCTGGGCTCAAGCCTTCTGAGCCTCAGTTTACCCATCATACAACAGTGGCCATAAATCACCTGCCATGGATTGTTAGGATGGAAGGGAATGATGGCTGGACCAGGCCTGGTGTGTATAATTGCTCAAAAAGTAGACATGAGATTGTCCTCCTGTCTCTACCCCCGACCTTCCACACCCAGGAGCGAGAGAAGATTGTGGCCCCCATCAGCGACTCCCCAAAGCCACCACCACAGCGTGTGACCCTCACACTACCTGTGCTGAACGCAGCCAGAACCGTCATCTTTGTGGCGACTGGAGAAGGCAAGGCAGCTGTTCTGAAGGTAACAGCTGAGGGTTCCAGTTCTGGGAAGGTCATGGGCATGTGGGCTCCAGGAGTAGAATATGTCCCAGCCACTGCTGGGCTGGAAGCATCGGATCTGAAGATAATTCAGTAATTCTTGGGTTGGAGGGGATATCAAAACTGCAGCTACAGTTCACGAGTGTGGTACAAAATTGATGAGATAAAGCCAGAGGTCAATTCATAGCATTAAGTGCGCATGCGTGTACGTCTATATATTTAATTATTAAGTGGGAAACAATGAAAATCAGTAAGTCAAGTACTTTACTCTAGAATTAGGAAAAGAACAATAATAGAAACCTAAGAAAAGTCAGTAGAAGGAATAAGCGAAATTAAAATCAGAAATTCATGTGGTTTTTCCAGATTGCTCATTGAAAATGTATAGGAGAGCAATTGATTTTTGTATATTGATCTTCTATCATGCAATCTTGCTGAATTGTCCACTGATAGTTTAAAAATAAAATTAAAATCATTTAAAAAAAAATACGTGGGTTGGTTAAGATTTTTTAAAGTTTAATGGTAGGTAGACCCAAAAGATCAACAACCCCCTAGCAAAGCTAATCAAGAGGGGAAAAAAAATCATGTAGTATTAGGAATAAGATAAAAGGTACAGGTACACACAGCATTTTAAGAAAATATAAAATAAATCAAGATATTAAAAATAAACTAAATAGGGGCTGGCCAATTAGCTCAGTGGGTCAGATCGTGGTGTTGTAACACCAAGGTCGCAGGTTTGGATCCCCGTACTGGCCAGCACCAGAAAAAAGAAAAATGAACTAAATGGCTAAAAAAAAGCTGTAATCATCATTATTGAAAAGACCAGCAAACAACTATGGAGGATACTGGAAGTATTTTTTAAATAAATAGGTAATAATGCTTCCCCCCAAAACCATCGGGTCCAGATGTCTTCATGGAGGTGGCTTGGTCTTGAGGTTCAGAGTGGGGACTCCAAAGAGTCCAATAGACCAGGCTTCCCTGCTGGTGATGCCCCGTGTGGCTTCAGGTGGCCACTTCACCCCTCCAAGCCTCAACTTTCCCATCTGCAAGGTGGGTTGGTCGAGGCGGTTCCGGCTCTTTGTCCACTCACACGAGGGACAGCCCCAGCTGTGGGAACTCAGGCCATGACTCAGCTTCCCCAGCTGTAAACAGGGGTGAGAATGGAGGTGACCTCACAGGGCTGTCGTCAATAGTCAGTAGTTCATCCACACAGAGTGCTTGGGGCAGGCCTGGATAACAGAAAGCCGTCTTTATTATTTTTTTTTTCCTTTTTGTCTTTTTTCGTGACCGGTAACGGGATCGCAACCCTCGGTGTTGCGCCTGTACTGCGACCGGCAACGGGATCGCAACCCTCGGTGTCGCGCCCACACCGCACTCAACCAGTGAGCGGACCGGTCTCTATATGGGATACGAACCCTTGGCAGGAGCGCCGCCGCGCTCCCAAGCACCGCACTCTACCGAGTGCGCCACCGGGCCGGCCTAGAAAGCTGTCTTTATAATTCCCACTAATGACGAGGTCCAATCAGGAATCGGTCATCCCCAGCCCGCGGGCCACTTCCCGCCAGCTAAGAATGGTTTTTACTTTTTTAAATGGTTGGGGGGAAAATCAAATGAAGAATAATATTCCTTGACCTGTGAACATCCTATGAAACTCACATTTCAGCATCCATAAATAAAGTTTTATTGTAATAGAGCTGCACCCATGAGTGTGTGTACTGTGTACCGCTGCTCTGGGCTGTTGTAGCAGAGCTGAGTAATTGCCATTGAGACAGGATGGTCTGCAAAGCTAAAAATATTGACTATCTGGTTTTTTGCAGAAGAGGGGTGCTGATCCCAGTATTAAATGGTTGCAGTTGCTAAAAAGGAAGTCACCCTGTCCCCACTTACTTTTTGCAGCTGGGATAGCCAGGAAGGTCAGCATCACATTTTGAGGGTCCAAGAGTCTTACCTGCGGGTTGGTCCTGGGAGTTCTGAGGGGTTCCAGGGATGCAGGTGGGGCCTTACCCTCCCGCCTTCTCCACGCAGCGCATTTTGGAGGAGAAGGAGGAAAACCCGCTGCCTGCCGCCCTGGTCCAGCCCCACACCGGGAAGCTTTGCTGGTTCCTGGACGAGGCGGCCGCCCAACTCCTCACTGTGCCCTTCGAGAAGCATTCCACTTTGTAGCTGGCCAGAGGGACGCTGCATCTGGGACCGCATGTAGCCCGAGTGGGCCGGGAACATTCCGGGGCTGGGCCCCTGCTGGCCACCACATTCTGGGCTTCATTTTAGAAAAGCCTCATGGTGTTGCTGGAAGCTAACAGAGTCTGGTCACCAGCCCTGCCTGGGGGGCTCTGGGGACCTGGATATTAAAAGGAGTATGGCTAGAAGTGTCCACTGTCTCGTGGTCGTTGACAGCAGCACGTCTGGGGGCACCAGGCTGGGTGCCTGCCTCTCAGCCCTCATCCCAGCAGGGCGGGGGGTGGGGCCTGCTCTCCTGGGGCGTGGGCACCGTGGATGAATTTCCCAGGGTGGCCCTAACAAGATACCACAAACTGGGTGGTTTAAGACAATGAAAGTTTGTTCTGTCCCAGTTGTGGAGTCCAGAAGTCTGAAATCAAGGTGTCAGCAGGGCTGGTTCCTTCTGGAGGCTCTGAGGGAGGATCTGTCCCAGGCCTCTCTCCTGGCCTGTAGTAGCTCCTGCAGTCTTTGGTGTCCTTGGCTTGTAGATGTGTCACTCCACTCTCTGCCTCCATCCTCACGTGGCTTTCTCCCTGTGTGTGTGTCTCTGTGTGTTCTCTTCCCTTCTTAGAACAACACCTGTCAATGAATTTAGGATCACCCTAAACCCTGGATGATTTTATCTCAAGATACTTAATGAGGGCTGGCCAGTTAGCTCATTTGGTTAGAGCTAAGGTCAAGGGTTTGGATCCCCATACTGGCCAGCTGCCAAAAAAAAAAAAAAATCTTTAATGAATTACATCTGCAAAGATCCTTATTCCAAATAAAGTCACGTTCTGAGGTTCCAGGGTTAGGATGTGGGCATATCCTTTTTCCTCTTGGGGGACACATTCAGCCCTCTGCACATACCCTTGACTGAGCTTTAGCCGCTGACACAGGCCGTGCTGAGCCCTGCCCTGCTGCACTGCGGGCCTGCTCAGAGCCCTGCATGCCCCAAGCACCTCTAGTCTTCCATGTGCTGAAGTTGTGGCCTTATCCGAGTGCGTCTGCTCTTGGCCCACCCTTCAGCTTCTGCTGGCTCCAGGGACCAGGCGGGGGAGGCTGGTGGGCACACGGGGGCCAGCCAGCCACGCACGAGCATGACAGCTGGGAGGCAGGTGGAATTGAAACCTCTGTGTGGAAGTGACCACAAGGGAAGGGAGTGAGGCCGAAACCACAGAAAGTGATGTTTCCTTCAACGTCTGCTCTGGGCCAGCACTCAGATGTGAGAGTGAGGAAGTGTGATGGGGCCTGACCGGAAACAGCCTGAGGAACAGCAGAGAGCGCTGGAAGGGAAGCAGCCCGGCTGTGGGCTTGAGCAACATGAGCAGGTGGCCGTGACCCCCAGAGCTGTGCGCGGTGAGGGGGAGGTGAGGAGACAGGCGTGAGAACCTCACATGGGGCACTACCTAGGGCATGTCACCATCTTCTATGTCCCTCTCCCCAGAGCGGCAGCTAGCCCTGCTCCAAACCAGCTTGTGACCCCTTTCTGCCTTCACAGTGAAACCCGCTCTTCTCAAGTGGCTCGTGTGTCCCCTTCAACCACCCACCCTCCTCCCCTAACATCGGCCCCTCGTCACCCCCCTCCGCCCACTTGGTACTGTTCCTGGAGACTGACAAGCATGTTCCTGCCTCAGGTCTTCTGCACACGCCGTGTTGCTGCCAGTATTCCCTTTTTGCATGGCTGGGGCCCTCGCTTCCTTTAGGTCTTGGTGCACTATCACTCTCCACACGCCCTAGCATTTTGTATCCCTTCCAGCTGCATTTGTCTTCCACACACGTATCGTTATCTGACACTTTTGTGGGTTGGTGTATTCTGCTCCCCTGCTGGCCACAGGGGCTGGCACAACTCTTCATCTTCTGTGCTTAGCTCTGTGGCCAGCCCAGAGCAATGTTTGTTGAATAAAGAAACAAGTCCCGAGGCATGAGTGAAGATGTTACCAGTCACTTAAACAATGTGGAAGCTCAGGGCCGGCCTGGTGGTGCACTCTTGGGAGTGCGGCGGCGCTCCCGCCGAGGGTTCGGATCCCACATACAGGCCGGTTCCCGCTCACTGGCTGAGCGAGGTGCGGGCGCAACACCGAGGGTTGCGATCCCGTTGCCGGTCCTGGTCCGGTACGGGCGTGACACTGAGGGTTGCGATCCATTGCCAGACACGAAAAAAGACAAAAAGGAAAAAAAAAAACAATGTGGAGGCTCAGCTCTTTCTCTGGAGAGAGGCCACCTCAGGCTAGTAGAGCAATGTCACAAACTCTTCAGGGACCCCAGCTTTTTCTGTATGTTGCTGTGCCATTGTCAACACATGTCCACCTCATGGTCCAAAGTGGTGGCCTGTGCTCCATCCATTGCATTTACATTCCAGCTACAGAGGAGGAAGGGGAGGAGATTCATGCTAAGGAAACATCCTAGGATTCACCCAAGATGCTTCTGTTCACATCTTCATGCAGGTTCTATTGCATGGCCCAAGTAGCAGCAAGTGAGGCTGGTAAATTTAGCAGACTGGACAGCCATGGGCCCTGCCATAATCAAGGATCTACTACTGAGGCTGACAGGAGTGATGGATGTTGGGTGAACACGTGCTCTCTGTGCACTGGCGACCTGGAAGTCTTGCTGTCTGAGGGACTACATTTGGTCTTTCCTTCCTCCAGCAGGTGGCCCTGCCCCTAGAGGGCACCCAGTCTTCAAGGCCCCACCTCATCCCCTCTGCCAGAGATGGATCCGGCCTCACTGCTTATGACTCCCTTCATCAGGAAGCCCATGAGACCTCCATTTGATCACATTTCATCCTGGAGTGCAGACTCTGTATTCACTCATTCATTCACTCATTCATTCATTCAACAAACAATGAGGGCTGCTCTGTGCCAGGCACAAAAAGTTGATTAGACCAGGGGTGCGGGGATGGCTCCCCAAGGGGCTGGTGTCCAAGTCGATGCCTGAGGGCTGAAGCCCAGGCAGCTGGGGCAGTGGGGAGAGGGCTCCAGGCAAAGGGGACGTGGAGTGGGGTGGGGTGGGAGGAGGAGCCCCAGGCCACCAAGTGGGGTTGGGGTCTCTGTGGTGTCTGATGTTTCCCCAAGAGTGATGGGGGTCAGGACTGAGCATTTGGGGGTATGCTAGAGATGGGGACTGGGCGCAGAAAAAGGGACATCTTCAAAAGACATTAAAAAGTGAATCTAGACCAGGTGATTGATTGGTGGGGGTGGGGAGAGTATTGGGGGGCGGTGAGGAAAGAATCAAGGATGACACTTCAGTGTCCCCTGTGAGTCTCTGCTCCCCCCTACCAGCAACCCCCCCATCCTCTGAGACCCCAGCCCATGTTCCCCCTGCCCCAGCGCTGATTCCAGGGACAGTCTGGGGTATCAGTCCAGCTCTGTCTCCCCAGTCTGGGGACTTCTGGAGGGCGAGTCAAGGCTTCACCCAGAACAGGTTAGGCATGGGGTGGTGGTGGCCCTGGGATTTAGATGCCCCGTCCCTGACCATCCCCCTTTCTCTGCCCCTACACACCAGCAGCTGGCTGGTCATGCCAAATGTCTGCCCTGCATCCCTCCTCCAAGGCCAACTAGGACTTGTTTCTCTCACACCCCCAACCTACCCCCCGGGGCTGCCCCAGTGGCTGCTACAGAAACCACCAGCTCCAGGCAGCCTTGGCCCCAGGGGAAAGGAGAGGACACAGGTGCAGGGTGGGGTGGGGCAGGGGTGGGGACACCCACATCACCCCCTTCCCTCAGCCCTACACTAACTTCTCATCAGCCACCCTCTCCCAGGGTGCCCCTGAGCCGAGGAACCTCAGGGGCTGTGGGTAGGGGAAGGGGTGTCTGCTTCATTCACAGGGGAGCCCTGGGAGACGGCAGCAGGATGGGCGGGCGGCCCTCGAGTCCCCTGGACAAGCGGCAGCAGCAGCACCTGAGAGGTGAGTGGGGTGGGGACGGGGTGGGAGTCTTGAGGGGTGTTCAGGGCTAGGGCTGTCAAATACAGGGGTGCTTCAAACAGGTCATGGGAAGCTTCATATTATCTTTTAACTCTATTTTTCCATGACCTTTTTGAAGTACCCTCGTATACAAGATGCCCTGTTAATGTGAATTCCACATAAACAATGAATACTTTTTTTAGTATAAATATATCCCACATTTTACATGGGGCATACTCATGTAGAAAAATGGTTCCTTATTTACCTGACATTCAAATGTCACTGGTGTCCTGTATATTTATCTGGTAAATCTGACAACCCTATTCAGGGAGGGGTTCTGGGTGGGGGGTATGGGGCCGGGTGGGGGGTGTCCTGGGCCCAGCCAGATCCTGCAGTATGGTCCTCCTGGGTGGGCAGGGACCAGCAGGCCCCTCTGCAGGGACCCCAGGGATCAAGCCTCAGTTCCCAGTTTGAGACTAAAGGAGACTGGTACCTGAATCAGTGCCACGTGAGCCTCTCAGACCTCCTTATATGCAGGTTGAGCACCTATTGTGTGCTGGGTGCTGAGGACATGGTGAGGTGGGGACTGTCCTCTTTGGCAGGCTGATGATCTAGACTAGGAAAGAGGGTTGTCATTGTCACGCAATGGCCGGTGGATCAGAAAGCACGGTGGGAATGATAGGGGAGCCACATGTTCCTTGAGTTGGGGGGAAGACGCAGGACGGGTGACTGCCCTCCAGGAGATGGTGATCAAGCCAGGGCTGGAGGAGCGTGATGGAGCTGGCAGGTAGGAGTGTAGGAGGAGCATTCTGGATAGGGGAACAGCGTGTGCAAAGACCTATGGTGTTTCCTGCGATCAGCCAGACTGTCCACGTGCAGAACCCTCACTCATTGGGTGACCTTGGGTAGATGACTTCCCCTCTCTGGGCATTCTTTTATCTGTAAAATGGGGCTAGCAACAATGTCTACACTATGGGGCCTTTGTGAGGATTCGATGAAGTCCTCTACATAGAGTCAGGATTGTTTTTTCTGCAGTGGCTGAAAGAAGATAAAGATTTAGCTGACTGGTTAGCTCACTTGGGAGAGTGTGGTGCTGACAACACCAAGGTTGAGGGTTAGTATCCCTGTACCAGCCAGCCACAAAAAAAAAAGATTGATTTTTCTCTCCTATAGAGGGGTGCGGAGGGCCAGCCCATGGCTCACTCGAGAGAGAGTGGTACGGAGAACACCAAGGCAACAGGTGTTCGGATCCTGTATAGGGCTGGCTTGTTGGCTCACTGGCTGAGCATGGTACTGACAACACCAAGCCAAGGTTTGAGATCCCCTTACCAGTCATCTTTTTTTTTTTTTAAAAGAGGGGTGGGGAGGCAGGCAGGCTGGTGAGTTAGACACCTGGACTCTTTCCATCTCACAGCTCGGCTATGTGTGGCTTCTGTGCCCAAGTCACCTCATGGTGCAAAATAGCTGCTGGAGCTCCAGCCATCAGTTCACGTTCCAGGCAGCAGGATGGAAGTGTTTTATAACACCATGTGCTCCAACCAACTGAGCTAACCAGCCAGCTCGGAAGTGTTTCATATATAGTCAAGTGCACACATCTTAGGGGAGCAGCTTGAAGAACTTTGACACCTCCTAGATCAGGATACAGAACACTTTTATCCCACAGAAATTTCCCTCGTGCTGGGTTAGGGCTTTTTAAAGCTTTTGAAAATCTCCCCAGGCAAAGGGCATGAGGAAACTTTGGGTGCAATGGATCTGCTCATTATCTTGATTGTGGTGATGATTTCATGGGTGTGTAATTGTGTCAAAGCTCCTCAAACTGTAGGCTTTGTACAGTTAAAGTTTATGGTACATCAGTTATAAATTAAGCCTGAGTCGTGTAACTCTTGCCCCCATGTGGATGGAAACATAGAGTGGAGGGTTGAGGTGAGTGAAATTTGGGGTACGTCTTGCTGGGCAGCTTTGGGGTGAGGGCAGGAGCCCACGGTGGCTTCCCTGTCTGTTCTGTCCTCTCGAGGCAGGTCTGCAGGACCGATTCGGCCACCTTACTTTCCCTTTGTCCCTGCAGATCAAGTGGACGCCCTGTTAAGGAACTTCCTGCCATGCTACCGCGGGCAGCTGGCAGCCTCGGTCCTGCAGCAGATCTCCCGCGAGCTGGGCCCCCGGGAGCCGGCTGAATGCCAGCTCGTGCGCAGTAAGGTGGGTGCCGCGGGAGTGGGCTGAGTGTGTGGGGCTGGAAACACCATGCGGGGCAGGTGCAGTTGAGCTAAGACAGAGAATGAGAAGGAGCCTGATTTGGGGAAGTGCGTCCCAGGCAGAGGGCACTGCAAGTCGGAAAAGGCTGTGTGTGTCTGAATGTGGCACCCAAGGACGCAGCACGACCACTGGACCCCAAGCCTTTGCACGTGCTGTGCTCTCCGCCTGGTGCACTTTCTCCATTTCTCCTCTGGCTTTGGCTGCTGCTGCTTCCAGGAAGGCTTCCTTGACCACCATCACTCCCACCAGGGTCTCAGCCTGGTCCACCTCCCTCATTCGTCTGCCCTGCGAGGCTGGGGATCAGGTCTTGTCTTCCCTTGACCTTCAGTCCTTTGGGCACATGGGATGCCTGCACATAGTAGGAGCTCAGGAAGAGTTTGTCAATGGAACACAACAGTCTGGAGCTCCAGGCCCTAGCTTCAGATGTCTCTTGGGCCATCAAATGGCACCACGGCCTCCAAGTCCCACACAACCCACTCAATCTTCACCACCCTGGCAGGTGGATCTTTGATCAATGAGGAAACTGAGGCACAGAGAGGCCAAACCACCTGACCGAGGTCACAGTACTAAGGTGTGATTCGAGCCCAGAACCCATGCTCGTTACTAACACTGGGTCCCCCATCCCAGTCAGGGCCCTGAGATTTCTCACATGTCACAGACACCTTTCCTCCCAGCAGCGCCCCTCCCAGGGTGGGGGCCCCAGCGCTGTGGACACAGAGCCCCCTCCCACCTGGGACGCTCCCTGCCCACATGGGCCAGGGCACAGTGACCTTGGGGTTCAGGCATGTGGAGGGGCTTCTCTTAGCTTCAGTTCTAACATTGTATTTATTATATCATTTACATAATCCTTATTTTATATATTTATATATATTTAATTTCTATAATAACATTTGAACAATATTATGAAGAAAAATTTCAGACCTAGGAAAAGGTAGGGAGAATTATTTAACAACTGCCGTTCCCACTTCCCCACCGAAGAATCAAAATATCACAAGGGCAATTGGTTTATTCATCAAATATCAGGCTGGCCAGTTAGCTCGGCTGGTTAGAGCGTGGTGGTGATGACACCAGGTCAAGGGTTCGGGTCCCCTCACCGGGCAGCGGCTAAAAAAAAAAAAAAAAAATAAATATTTATCAAGCACCTTCTGTGTACCAGGCCCTGCTCTGGAATCCAGTGACAAAATAGAAAGCACATAAGTCAGGTGGCCAGGGGGTGAGAGGAACTACAAAGAATATGAAAAAAGTCATTTTCCACTCACCTACGGAGGCTCTATGGCAGGACCTCTGTGTGTCACACAGTTAAACTACACCTGTTTCATGACCCAGCAGTCCCACTTGTACTAATCAGCTAACGCTGCATAACAATACACCACAAAATCAGTGGCTTAAAACAACACACACGTGTGATCTCATGGTTTCAGTGGGTCAGGCATCCGGGCATGGCTGGGCTGAGTCCTTTTCATTAGGGTCTCTTGCAGGCCGCAACATGATGTGGACCAAGGCTGGGGTCTCACCCCAGGCTCAGCTGGGGAAAAAAAACAGGATGACAAACGTGTCCACCTCCCAGGGCTGTGGGGGAGGATGAAACCCGTTAATATTTGTAACGGTGGCAAACAGGTGCACGCCGTGAACATGCTTGATAAATAGCATCACATCAGCAGCGCTGACTGCTTTGTACTTGGTGGCACCCGGTGCCAGGGTCGTGGGAACAGGGACACTGGCCCACACTCCTGACACCCACTGGTCCCTCCTCCTGCAGAAGCTACCCCGAGTCCGCGAGCACCGAGGGCCCCTGACCCAGCTGCGGGGCCACCCGCCCCGGTGGCAGCCAATCTTCGGTGTTCTGCGTGGGGATGGCCGGCTGGAGTGGTTCAGCCACAAGGAGGTGAGCCGGTGGCCCACATCCTGTCTGCCTCTGGGTCCCTCTGTTCTGCCCTCCTCCAGCTTGGGTTTGGGGTTCAGCTGCCAACAGACCCCCCGCTTCTCTCAATCATCCAGTGTGAATCAAAGTCCCCTATGTTCTTGGCAGGATGTGGGTGACCATCTTGTCCCCTCCCCTGCTGTGTCAAGTGGGTCAATTGAGGACCAGAACAGGGGTAGGATCGTGGTCAGACTCATGGTCAGAATCGGAGCTGAGTTTAAAGATCCTAAGGCCTTTGCACATCACGGCCATGCCCTGCATCCAAGCTGGGGAGCTCGGGTAGATCACTCACCTCCCTGGGACTCAGTCTCCACCTCCGTGAACTGGGACAATGGTGGTCCACACTGTGTAGGGCTTCCAGGATTCAATGAGATAAGCCTCATACAGCACTTGGGTCCAGCCCAGCACATAGTGGGCCAGTGGGTGCTGGGTGCTCTGACTATGGGGGAGGGAGGGAGGGAAGGACAGAGGAAGGGCTGGATGGATGGATGCAGGGGAATAAGAAAGGGAGGGAAGGGGGGTTGAAGGACTTCCGCAGCTAACCTGGAGAAACCGTCCCTTGATCCTACAGTTGGGACATGAAAGTCACAGTTTAGACCTGTCCCAAGTCGGTTCTTTGGGTGCCTTTCATAGGAATATGAAAATGGGGGCCATCCCCTTGGCTCCACAGCCCTGACAGGGTACACCCTCCTGACTTCCCAGCGAGAATATCTCTGCCTTTTGGACGCTCTCTGCCCAGCCTCCTCAGGTAAGGCTCCTGGGGTCCCCAACAGCAGGTGTCTTCACCTCAGCACTGCTGACATTTAGAGCTGGGTCATTCTCAGTGGGAGGCTGTCCTGTGCACCGTAGAGTGTGGGGCAGCATCCCTGGCCTCCACCTCGTCAATACCAGTAGCACCCCCTTCCCCACCCACCAAATGTGACAAACAAAAACATATCCAGAGTTGCCAAGTGTCCCCTGGGGGGCAGCATTACCCCTGGGTGAGCACCTCTACTCTGGAAAGGAAAAGCCCATCTCTTGCCAGGGTGAGAGGGAGAGTTAGGTCACTGGACCAGATTCAAAATAGCAAAGGGTGGGGGCCGGCCCGGTGGCACACTGCTATAGTGCGCCGCTGGGAAGCGCGGCAGCGCTCCCGCTGAGGGTTCGGATCCCACATACAGACCGGTTCCCGCTCACTGGCTGAGCAAGGCGTGGGAGCAACACCGAGGGTTGCAATCCCGTTGCTGGTCCCGGTCCGGTACGGGGGCGACACTGAGGGTTGCGATCCGTTGCTGGACACAGAAAAAGACAAAAAGGAAAAAAAAAAACAGCAAAGGGTGAAAGCGATAAAACCTGGTGTCAGCAAGCATGTGGCAAGATGGACACTGATACGTGGAAAAATCGCACAGGCCTGGCTACAGGGTTGAATCTGCACATCAGGCAGGCCCTATTACTAATGACCCCATTTCACAGATGAAAACACTGAGGCAGAGGGCAGAGTAAAGGGCAGAGCCACAGTGGCAACCTCTGCTTCACTGCAGTGTCCTGCCACCAAATGACCCAAAGATGTGGTAATGAGGACAGTCCGTAGAAGCACTGACAATATTCAAAACATCAGAATCGTTACAACAAGCAAACGGAAAGGACATTCTTGGGGGGGAGGGGAGAGAGGGAGGAGGGAGGGAGGTGTCGGTGATGGGCCATAATAATCATATACATTGTATATTGACAAAAATTTAACGAAAAAAAAATAATAAAGTTAAAACTTAAAAAAAAACAAAAACAAAAACAAAAAAACATCAGAATCCACCCAAATACCCATCCTTTGAGGGTTTATTAAATAAATTATGGCCCAGGCCTTAGAAGGGAAATCTGTAGCCGCTGAAGTTGCCCTGATGTATCGAGGAGTAAAATGGCCAGTTACAGACCAGAAAACCCCCTCTTGTTACAAAAATGCACCCCCTGTGGTTTTGTGCAGATTTAAAAATCTGGAGTAATGTCCTCTAAACTGTTAACAGTTATTATCATCTCTGGGGACTGTGGCTGGAGGGCTGGGATGACCAGGACATTCCACCTTCTGGATTATTGGGTCTTAGCACAGTCTGTTTGTATCACTCTGGAAATTAGAACAAAACACTGAGGACTTAGGAGACTCCAAACAGATTAACCAAAAATAAACTCATTTTGTCCTCCCAACAGTTCTAGGTCGATATCTCCATTAAGCCCATCTTACAGGCAGGAAAACTGAGGCTTAGAGAGATGAGAAAATGTGCCGTAATCACAGAGCTAGGAAGTGGTTTTGCCAGGTTTGAGCCTCGGCCTGGCTGACTGCAGAGCTCTGCAGAAAGTAGGGTTCAGATCACGTCCCACCTTGGATGGATTGGTGATGGCTGCCTGGAGCACTGCATTGAGGAGGATGCTGAGGCTGCGAAAGAATGCTGGGGTGGACTAGTGATGTCTGCCCTGGGCGTGCAATGGAGAAAGGTGGCCCTGCCTTCTCCAGGACAGCAGCTCAGCGCTGCTGGAATAAGGATAGTGGCAACTATAATGGCTCATGCTTATTGAGCAAGTGCTCAAGCCGGGGGCTGCTCTAAGCATTTCATGGGTATTTTCTCCTAGCAAATGAATGAATGAATGAAGACTTACCTTCTCCATCTGCTTTCAGGAGACCATACACAAGAAGAGCCTGAGGACCTCTTAGAAGTGCCCGTGAGCTTCCCGCTGTTCCTGCAACATCCCTTCCGCCAGCACCTCTGTTTCTCTGCAGCCACAGGGGGTGCACAGCGTGCCTGGAGGCTAGCCCTGCAGGGTGGCATCCGACTTCGGGGCACAGGTGGGTCTCAGGAAGGGTTGGCGTGGTGGGGCTCCTAGGTCTGGGGTCAGACGGCTCTGCTCCTGCTGGCTGTGGGACCTCTTCAAGCCTGTTTCCTTATCTATAAAACGGGTTGTTGGTGGAGACAGAGGGGACACCAGGAAGTTATGAGTGACCAGGGCTGTAACAGGGACATGTAGAGCTCTGTGGGAGCTCAGCCTGGGGGAGTGGTGGTCAGGGAGGGTTTCCTGGAGGAGGGGATGTTGAAGCTGGGATCTGAAAAAGATGAGGGGCCAGCCAGGTGAAGAACTGTGAGGAACATACAATTGGACAGTTTGTTGACTGCAAAAACATACCCAACTGGAGGGGCAGCTGGGGGCTGCAGCATCACCTGAGCCACTGGGCAGGGGGCTGTGGCTACCCGTGAGGGGGTCATTTTTCCTACATTGAGTAAAGTTGCCTTATGAGCTGATGGTCCCAAGGGAGTGTGTTCCCTGGGGAGGGCACTGCTTGTGCAAAGGCCTGGAGGCGGGTGAGACGTGGGTATTCCTAGACCTAGGTAGGGGGAGGGCTTCCTCTCAGGGTGACAGTGAGCTGGGCAGGGGAGGAACAAGTGGGCACTGAGGAGCTGTCCCTTCAGTCCTGCAGCGAAGCCAGGCCCCCGCTGCTCGGGCCTTCCTGGAAGCGGTCCGACTCTACCGGCAGCACCAAGACCACTTTGGCGACGACGACGTGACCCTGGGCTCGGACGCCGAGGTCAGTGCCCTGCAAGGCCTCACCTGGGACTCCGGGACCCTTCCCGGCCGGGCGCAGCGCCTATGGCCCCCTCTCTTGCAGGTGCTGACCACGGTGCTGATGCGGGAGCTGCTGCCGGCGCTTCGAGCCCAGACGCTGCCCAGCCTGCGGGGCACCGGCCGCGCCCGGGCCTGGGTCTGGACCGAGGTAAGCGCGGGGTCTGGGAGGAGGGTGGGAATGGGGGCCGGTCCTGGGCGCCCAGGTTCCCCGTCCCCGCGATGGTCGTCTAAACTCTCTTGGGTCTCTCTGTCTCTGCCCCACCCCGCCCCGCGTCTGGGCTCTCCTGCACGCCTGTTTTGTGCGGGGTCCCCTCGACCGGTCCGGAAAGCTCCTGGACGCCGTCCACAGTGCCGTCCTGGCGGGGATTTCCTCGGGGCTCCGCTCCTTCCAGCCCGAAAAGGACGAGCTGCTTGCGTCTTTGGAGAGGACGATGCGCCCAGACGCGGACCAGATGCTGCGACTGCGGACGCGCGTGGCGGGGAGGCTGCGGGGTGAGGCGGGGGCGGGTCCAGGGCGGGGCGCAGAGAGGCTGGGCGTGGCCTGGATACAAGATCTTGGGGGCGAGGCCAGTAGCCAGGAGGGAGAGAGGTGGAGTTCCAGTCCCAACGCCAGCCCACCGAGCTCATCCGCCAGCCCCTAATTCTGCCTCCCTGGCGTGCGCCTTTGGGCGGACTCTCGCCTCTCTGAGCCTCAGTTTTCTCATCTGTCAAATGGGATGGACGAGGGTGCTCATAGTTCGCGCTCCCGTCCACCTCGTCCTGCTGAGCCCTGGGCCCCACCACCTCCCACGTGCGGGGCACCTCGTGCAGGAGACCCCAAGCCAGTGTCTCCACTCTCAGCGGACGTGCAGGGCCCACTCGAGTCATGCCTGCGCCGGGAGGTGGACACGCAGCTGCCCCGCGTCACGCAAATGCTGCTGAGCACCGTGGAAGCCACGATCAAAGGCGTGCGGACCCTCCTAGCCCAGGGCATGGACCGTCTGTCTCGCCACCTGCGCGGGAACCCCTCTGGCGCGCGGCTGCGCAGTGAGGTGAGCCCCAGTGGGTGGGATTCATCCGGCCGGCGGGTAGGGGGTTAACCTTACAGAAGAGTTGCGTGAACTTTGCGTCTTTCCTGTTTGAAAACCCTCTCTGAACTTTGTTCTAGACTGCTTTTTACTTGTGGACCGAGCCGGAGTTCCTACCACCACCATGCTGCGGTCACTGGGGCACAGTTTAAAACGTGGGGGGGGGGGAGTGAGATGACAGACTGGCATCTTAGCAAAATCACCGTGGGGTCATCTTCCCCCCAAACTCCTCTTCTTCCCATTCCCCTGTTGGGCAACGGCCCACCTCGCCCCCTAAGCCAGAAAATAACACTCAATGCAGCTGCGCTCAGTTTATCTGATATTAAAGGAACAGCTACTATGTGCCATGCAAAGCCTCCACTTCATGATCACCTTCTCCAGGAACTGTCCCTGGTCCCCCCTGTGTCTGCAGCTGCCTGTGCTTACTTTACCACAGAACTGTTTACATAGTACTGTGGGTGGTTGTATCATCTCACCTGCTGCAATTGGTAAACAAAGACTGGATTAGAGTCCTCTATGTCTGCAGCCTCAGGGCCCAGTGCAGAGAGGGCATCAGGAGGTGTTCACAGATCTAGGACTGACAGGACTGAGCATGCCCATTTCCACTTAGTCATGCCAGCACCGCTTGTTATGATTTTTTCCAGGTTTTATCATGTTATATCCATCATACCACATCTCACTGTAAGATAACTGAGGTGGGGCATTTCCATTCATGTTCCTCCCTTGGTAAACTGGCGGCTGCGGCCTTGGCCCTGCTTTGGCATCAGCTGACAGTGTTTTTGTCACCCTACTGCACTGGAGCACAGGTTTACTCGTTTGGGGAGATGCCGTGGGACCCGGAACTGATGCACACGTGCTACCGTGAGGCCGAGCGGAGCCGGGGCCGCCTGGGACAGCTGGTGGCACCATTTGGCTTCCTGGGGATGCAGAGCCTGGTGTTTGGGGCCCAGGATCTTGCACAGCAGGTGGGGGTGAGCGGGAGGCTGGGACGAGGCCAGGTGGGGGCAGCAGACTCCACTGAGCAGTTGCCGAGTGTGTGCTGGGGAGGCCACAATGACTGAGGCCGACCTGACCCTCACGCTCCAGGCTCCCAGTCTCCTGCCGACGTGAGCCTGTGACCAGGTGGTGACCACATGTGGTGGGCAGAACTGTGGTGAGGATGCAGAGGGAGCTATAGGAGCCCCAGGAAGGTGCCTGATCCATCTCCAGGGTTGGCGGGACTTCCAGGAGGAGTGGACTTTTAAGCTGGGACAGTGGTGGGCAGAATGGGGGCAGGGCGTGTTCCTGGGTAGAGGGAACAGTGCTGAGAGATCTTGTTTGCATTTGGGGAAAAGGAAGCAATTTCAGAGATGCTGCATTTCAAGGAAGGGGAGAAAGGTGGGAGATGGGCCAGCAAGATGGGTGGTCAGACTGGGTAAGGCCTTGGGTATGGGGCTAAGAGGCTGGGCTCTGCACTGAGGCCAATGGGGAGCCACAGAAGGTGTGTGAGTAGAGGAGGGGCATGACCGGATTCAAGGATTAGGGAGACCTGCCTGCTGTAGGCAGCGTGGGCTGTTGGAGGGAGGAGTGGAGGAGGGAGGAAGAGGCCTGAAGCAGGATGGGGGAGACAAGTGAGAAGTGCTTTGAAGGCCAAGGAGATGGGACCTGCTGATGGACATGAGTGAAGGAGACAGGGATTGAGATGGCTCAGTGCTGCCTGGCACAGTCGTTCAGTTTGTACACTGCACAAGAGCATTCTGCTGAGGACGCTGAACTCTGGCTGCCTCTCTGCTCCCAGTCTGGGCACCCTGGCACCCAGAGGGAGGAGGTGTTCTGCCAGTTTGCACATAGACCCCTGCAGACTGGATGACCCCCAGGTCCTGAGAAGAGAGGGGAGCTATTTCCTAAGATGAAGAGGAGGAGGTGGCTGGTTGGGGCAGGCTGGATGCTGAGAAGGGGTGGGGCCCCGAAGGCCAGAGCATGGATTCCGGGGTGTCATCCCAGTATCTCCTCCCGCAGCTCATGGCTGATGCCGTGGCCACCTTCCTGCAGCTGGCTGACCAGTGTCTGACCACGGCCCTGGACTGTGACCAGGCTGCCCAGCAGCTGGAGAAAGTCAGGGGGCGCGTGCTGAAGGTGAGGTCGGTAGGGAGGGGGTGTCAGTGGGCCTGGGTGCTCGGATGGTCACTGGACAGGCCGCTGGGTGTGTCATGCAGAAGTTCGATTCGGACGGCGGGTCAGCGCAGAGGAGGCTCGTCCGGGGCTGGCTGCTGCGTGTCTTCTCGCCCTTCATGCTGAGCCGGCTGGGGCCAGGCTGCACAGCGGTGAGCTCCTGGGGGACATGCATGCAGGTCTTGGAGAGTCACCAGTCATCCATGTCTCTATGTAAAGTGGGCAGAGTGCTCCCTCTCTTACAGCACCCCTGGGATAATTAGAGACTTTGGTCTGCTGAGCCCCAGGGCTGGGTCAGGTGGCCCTTCTGGGCCCCACAGTACCCTCTGCTGCCCCCACGAGAGTGCTCTTTACCCTGTGTTTGCCACAGAGCTGGGGTGGGTCCCCTACATTGCATATCGCCGGGTGACTCAGAGAAGAGGGGGGCAGATGTGGAATGTGTGTGAGTGGGGGGGGGCGTGAGGGGGTTGCCAGGTGAGCAGGAAGGGTCTCTCTGAGAAATGGCACTTGAGAAGCCGTGAACTGCAGGCACAAGCCACGTCCCGGGAAGGGTGTTCCAGGCAGAGGGCACAGCATTTGCCGAGGCCCTGAGGCAGGGCTGTGCCTGGTATGCCAGGGGACCATGAGGAAGTGGATGTGGTTGTAGTTCAGCGAGTGAGGGGGCAGGGAGGGGGTGGGGGGAGGCCATAAGCACCTGGCCACACAGGGCTCAGGGCACCAGATGAGGGTCCGACTCGGGTGCTAACAGGATCCTCTAAAGGAAGTGGCTGTAGGGGGGATCCCAGCTGAGACATCTGGACTGTTCCCTGTGAGGTGTGATCTGCTTTGTCTCGTGAATCCCATTAATCCCCCAAATGAGCCTAGGGATTGTGGGTCACTGCGTCCTTTTTAAAGATAAGGAGGGCTGGCCGGTTAGTTCAGTGGGTTCGAGCACAGTGTTATAACACCAAGATCAAGGGTTCAGATCCCCATACTGGCAGGCTGCCAAAAATAAATAAATAAATAAATAAAGATCAGGAAACCGAGGCCCAAGGCCCCCCCAGTTAATCAGGGCCAGGGCTGGAGCTCAAACCCACATGAGGCTCTCCCCTCTAGCTTAGCTCCTAACCCGCTGCGGTTTCAGGTGCTGTCTGAATTCAAGCGGGACTTACTTGCCGTGGGCAGCCAGGCCCTGACCATTGAAGGCATCTACGAGGATGTCATCCGGGGGGGATTGCTGCAGAGGATTGACCGAGGTGAGCCGTGGCCTGCCGCGACTACAGGAAGCCTGGCGTGCCCTGGCTGTGTGTACCAAACCCCACCAGGGCCCTGTTGCCTGACCCCCCTACTGTCAACACTTGCCCTTTGGCCTAGGGTCAGGACTGGGGCAGAGGGCATCCAGGGTGGGGGAGCCCAGAGGGGCGGTGGCAGAGGCTTCCTGAAGGAGGGGGCATTGGGGCGAGGCTGTGAGGGGTGGGTAGGAGTTCTCAGTGAGAAGAAGGAGGCAGACTTCAACAACTGAGGATAAGTGCTCACGTTTATACATTCAACAACTGCTTCATGTTTTTGTATGTGTTGGCAGTGAGGCCCCCAAGAGTTCTTGGCCTTGGTGTAGGCCTCTCATGAGCTCCTGGGCTGGGAGGTGGCTCCAGAAGTATCTCCCTCCCTCCCGCCTTGTCAGTTCACTCATGAACCAATGCCTGTGACCACTGAGACATGTGCACTACCGGGTATGGGGCATGCAGTGGCGGTTCATGGAATGTGACAGCACCCATGTGGCTGTGCACGGGGCATGAGGGGGAGGCTGCTGGGGCAGATGTGCAGGGCTTTGAATGACAGGCAGAGGAGTTTAGACTTTCTTGTGCAGGCAATGGGGAGCCATAGAGAGTGTGTGAGACGAGGGTGACAGTAGCCAGACGGGAAGTCAGGGAGGAGGCTGAGGCCCCAGTCCTGGACCAAGAGTCAGGCCCAAGTAGGGTCAGCAGCCAAGGGGACAGAGGCAGGAGTGAGGTCCAGACAGGAGCTGGAGGTGGCGGAGTTGTTGGCCTGGGGTGTCGCTGACAGCACGAGAGAGGGCTGCAACCCAGGGAGAGTGTGTAGGGAACACAGAGGAGTCTCGAGTAGCCTTCTCTGACAAGGTGAGGTCAGAGAGCTGGGAGAAACCCAGAGACAGTGGGGTCCCGGGAGCCAGGGAATAAGGGCGAGGTTGTGTCCTTGGTCTGTGGGCAGCCAAACAGAAGAACCGAGTTCTCTTAGACGAGCAGAAGTTTTAAATTGACGAAAGCTATTCTCTGACTGCAAAATTAAATCCAGAAACAGGTGACATCGATGAGTTTCTGTTCGCAGAGGTTTTATGTGTCCTTTAAGAGGGTCCATCTCCAATTGATTTGTGATGTCTGCCCAGAGCAGCATGTTGGCAGGTGGAGCTGGCGGTGTCCAGGCTCAGTGAAGAGTGTGGAGATAGGCCAGCAATGTCTGCCATGGACATAAGAGTTGGGGGAGGCCCCACGTGAGCCACTCATTTAGGATTTCTGGTTGAGATGTTTGTCTCCATTCTTGGCCCTCTTGTGGACTCCCTGGCAAGATGTATGGAAGCACCTGATGCCTGGGCTTCCTCAGGTATGTCCAGGAGTTTTTATCTCTTGTTTTAGAATTGAAAAAGGCCGTCGGTGCCGCTGACATACCCTGCACTCTGGATGGCTGCTCGGAAGCCCCATGGGACCAGGAGGGAGCAGGTAAGGATCTCAAGGGTTCCCAAGCCATGCCAGTGAATTGCTGGGGAGGTTGGGGGTCTAGACGGAGTATGCAGGACTGTCATCAGTGTGGGTTCATGGATGGAACAGCAGGTACTTTGTCTCCTGACCTGGCCTTAGTGATGGGAAACCACAGAGTGTGTCTGAGCCACAGAGGGACCCTCTAAGTCCTGGCTCTGGCCTGCATGTGGGCTCAGCCCTTGGTAGCTGAGATTGTGATAAATTTGTATCCCATCTCTAATGCCAGGACTCAGGGGCACACCTTCCAGTAGCTGCTTCCCATTCTCAACTCTGGAAGGGGAGATTGTGGGGTGGGACCCTTGGATTTACCACCAGCAAGGGCTCTGCAAGATGGGCATAATTTGGGGCAATTTGTTAACAGCAATAGCTAACTAGTTCACCCCCCAGCTTATCTGGGGCGGCATCCTGTAGTCAAGTCTCTGCAGATCATCTCATGCATATTTTTTGTTTGTTCTTGGCAGCTGGCCTGTGAGGGGATCCGAACTACACACTCCCAAGTGAGTTGACCGGCCAGCCTATCTGATGAATATTTACACTAACTTGGAGAAATGGTTAAACAGTCTTAGAAGGACTTCTGGGTGTCAGAGTATTCGGGGATTTGCAATTGGGGATGGGGAATTGTGGATAGACCCCTGAATCTATTTAACCAGAAGCTACCCAATGGGCCTTTTGTGTCTGGTCTTTCACACTAGCAGCTAATGCCACAGGGAATAGCCTTGTACATACTTTTCATGGAAGTGCAGGTCACTGTGGGTAAATCCCCCCGTGGGAAATCTCAGGGTTTAGAGTATGTGTGCTTCTCATTTCTACAGTGGTCTCCAGAGCGTTGTCTACCAGAGTGGCCCTGCCTGGTGCCTCTCACCTGTGTTCGGGCAATGTTGGAGCTTTCTTACCTTCTTCTGAGAACCTTCTTTTCCTATCCTTCACCCATCTATATTCTGGTGCTTATAAATTTCTATTAAGTTTTTGTTGCCAGGCTCCCATTGACTGAGCATTTATTATATGCCAGGCATTTGACTTATCTGATTTTTTAGCATCCTTATGATACTTTGCATTTTACAGATGAGGAAACTGAGGCTCAGAGAGAGGGAGGGACTTGCCCCAGGCAGCCAGGCTCTGGCACCCAGGGCCAGCCACTCTGCCCACTGCCTCCTCAAGGAACATTCCGGAGCTGAATCTTCACCCACATCCGTCCTCGTTTCCATTGGATAAATGTCCACAAATGCGCTGTTTCTAGGCTTTTGTAACCCCTACGCCTCCAGAGAAGCTGTGCCTTTCAGTGCTCCCACCAGCAGCATTTGTAAATCTTCTCCAAATCCTTTCCAAACACTAGGACTTATATATATATATACACATATAGTTTTTATTTGTGTTTTTAAGATGCTGTTTTTTGGGCGACTGGCTGGTAAAGGGATCCAAACCTGTGACCTTGGTGTTACAAGGCTGTGCTGTAACCAACTGAGCTAACCGGCCAGCCCAGTAGGACTTTTCATAAAAGAAAAACTCAGTCAATTTGACACACACATATCTCATCGTTTTATTTTGAATTTCTTTGGTGACTAAATTGAACTTAAAAATGTTTATCAGGGGGCCGGCCTGTGGCTTACTTGGGAGAGCGTGGTGCTGACAACACCAAGTCAAGGGTTACGATCCCCTCACCGGTCATCTTTAAAAAAAAAAAAAGAAATGCTTATTGGCTGTTTATATGTTATGGGTTTTTTGTTTTTTTGTTTTTGATGAATTACCTACCTATTGATAGCTTTTTCCTACTTATCAAGGGTGTTTATCTTTTCTTATTGATATTTAATAACTCTTTGTATATTAAGGATATTAATGCTTTGTAATACAGCTTTTTTTTTCTTTCTCAATGGGCTGTGAGCCTTTCAGTCAATCTTCACTTGGTGTCAAGTTTCTTAGCTGAGAGAGAAGCATTTAGGGACTGTTCCATCAAACACGGAAGCAACGGAGTTGCAGTTGCTAGGAAGGAATGATCTAGAGTGCCATGTAGATATTCCCCATGGAGGGGATTGGCCACGTCAGAGCTGAACAGAAGAAGACTGAAATACACACGTCTTGGAGCTTTTGAAGATGCTGGCTAGAGCACCCCCATTTGGCCTTGGTTTGGAGCTTCTGCAGGAGGGGAGGAGAGAAGACCTGTGTACCCCAAAAAGCTTCCAACAGTGAAGGACGCATTTGGGTGCTTGACGAGAACATCAACCTGAGAGAGGCCCCGAGAATGTCTTTTTAGTCGGCGATCATGGAGTTTTATGGAGTTCCAGGATCCAACTCTTGGAGCACATCACCAGCTCCATCCAGAACGACACTGGATTTTGGTGGGGCGGTCCAAGTCCGGGACCCATCCTGTCCCCAGGCCAGCATCAGATTGGAAATCTGACCTTTTCATTTCTCTTCTAGGCAAACCTCTCTCTTTGCTCTTCTCCCTTTCTCTCTTAGTTCCTATTTCTCTGTTTCCTCTGCTCTTTCCTATTCCGCTGGCAAAAGAATGGCAAAGGTAAATCAGGTAAAAAATACGAGTATAAAAGCATAGCTTGGTTCTTACACATCACTCTTTTTTTTCTATAGCAAAAGGGAAATACCAAATGAAAAAAAACACCAAAAATGAAAGAACCCAGTAGAGCCTGGAATGTATAATCTGAAACACACGCTATGCAGATATGTCCCTACAGATGGTTCCTGGCACTAGCACCACATGCACTGTGAGGGTTTTCTTTCCTTTCTTAGTGTGTGTGTGTGTGTGTGTGTATAAAAAGTCAACTTTCTACAAACAAACAGCACATCAGCACGTTTCCGACTAATGTACAATGAGTTCAGAAGAACGGGCCCCTCCATAGGTAAGACCGACAGCTACTTGTGATATGTTGGAAGGAACATCTCTTATTTTGCTACGGACTCCATTTACAGGGATGCATGGGGTTGTTTATGGGCTGGCCTGGCCACTGGAATTCAGGCCTTTTCCTAGGCTGTGGTCAACCCCAAAGAAATTTAGGCCTTGTCTCCCTGATCCAGCATAATCTCTCTGTGAAGTGAACTGCCAACACAAGGTTGAATTTTATAGATTGAGTTGGCTAGACACATTAATACACAGGGTTTTAAAAAAAAATCTGTCAGCATCAAGGGCCTTTTTCTGAGGCAGGGTAGGGTCCTTCAAGGAATAAGTCCCATTTTCTACCACGACGGTGGCTTGGGAGAACTTTAGAAGTGTCGGATGGAATGAGAAATCATTTTGTTTATTCCCAAGCAGGTCTCAGTTCCATTTCACCATAGGGGACAGATATTTGGGATTGGTCCTAGCATTGGACTGTTACCTCCTGGGGGTGGGGCTGGGTGGTTTTTATATTACCTAAGATCCCTGCTCCTGAGTCACAAAGGGTATAAGGAGACTCAGACACTTCCTGAGCCAAGCCTCCAAGGGGAAGGACTGATTATTCAGGGAATGTGGATGAAGATTGTGGTTGGTCTTCAGGAAGCTGCCGTCTGGCTGTGACAGCTACAAAAGCAGGGACTGGGCCACCAAGGGACAACATAATCTTCCTTTTTGTCCAGAGTTTGGAGAATCAAAAGCCTCCTGCAGTGGATGCTCCAGTTGAAACCTTGGCTAAACCTGATGGGCCATGTGCGTCTGGGTGTCCACTGCTATCAAAGAGTTTGTTTGTTCCCAATTATTAATAGGTTCCTCTAAATCAGAGATATGAGCCACCCTCATCATGGTCCAGGACAGGCTTGATATTACTGAGTCTGAAGATGAGGAACAGGTGAACCTTTGTCACAGAGGTGACATCCATGCAGACAAGTGTCCTAGTATCTTGCCAACCAGCACCTCAGGAGGGAGGAATTCAGGTTGATTTCCAAAGCCACAGCCCTTCCCTCTAGGAATGTCTGTGGCTGGGGTCAAGAGGCATGGATTGAGCAAAGAAGTGGCCTCATGTGCCCAGGTGGGGACAAGCAGTTTGGTCCACTGTTTGTAGATTCAGTGCTGTATCTCCCATCACAAGTGCCTTGTGCCCAGCAGCACTTGATTAAAGGTGATCCCGGTGTAGATTATACTGACAGTGATGGTGAAGATGAATATAATTTTGATAACCAGGTACAGATGGTGAAAAGTTCCNGTTTTATATTTAGACTTCATAGGTGATGCTATAACAGTGATCTGCCAGAGGTGTACCAGAGATTTCTGCATGCCACAAATTTCTCCCAACTTTTCATGACCCACTTGAACATTCTTGAACCCATCTAGAATTTTACAAATCAGTGGTTTAAATCTTTATCATGGTAGTGACCCTGTCTTCTAACTATTGAAAGGGCAACTGGAGGCAACTTTAGAAGTCTGTGTGGGTAAAAGCTCCGGTAAATTTCCCATATGAAAGCACAAGTTTGTTTCTGATGGTCTGAAGTTACATGGCTGAAAAACTAGGTAAAAGAACACGGTCAAGATTAACAATATTACAATTAATATCATCAATAGCACTGATGGAAATGTTGACAGTTAAAAGAATTTTTTGTTATATTTTTTAAATGTTTTGTTTTGGTTTTATTAGTTATGAATATTCATGGAGTACAAAGCAAATTGTCTAAGCCACTCGTGCCTAAGATGTGATGGCCGGATTCATACTGGCAGCATGTCCATTACCACAGATTGTGATTATACCCCATGTCCCCCACCCAATTATCCCCTCAATTATCCCCAACCTCCCTCCCCATCCCCCTTTCCCCACTCCACTTTTTATCCCTAGGTATGTTCTCTCCTTCTGCAAGTGCAGCACACCGCTGTGGTCTTTCTTTCCTTTCTTCTTTATCTCTTAGCTCCCACTTATGAGAGAGTATATATGGTATTTCTCCCTCTGTGCTTTGCTTATTTCACTCAATGTAAGTTTCTCCAGGCTCATCCATGTTGTTGCAAATGGGAGAATTTCATTTTTTTTTTTATGGCGGAGTAGTATTCCATAGTGTATATATACCACAGTTTCCTTATCCAATCATCCATTAATGGACATTTAGGTTGGTTCCATATCTTGGCTATTCAGAGCACAGCTGTGATGAACATGGGAGTGCAGGTATCCCTTCAACATGATAATTTCCATTCCTTTGGGTATATGATTGCTGGATCGTATGGAGGATCTATCTGTAGTTGTTTGATAAACCTCCAAACTGTTTTCCATAGTGATTATCCTAATTTACCGTCCCAGCAACAGTGTAGGAGTGTTCCTTTCTCTCCACATCCTCGCCAGCATTTCTTATTCTCTGTCTTTTTGATTATAGCCAGTCTAACTGGGGTGAGATGAGATCTCAATATGGTTTTAACTTGCATTTCCCTGATGACTAGTGATGTTGAGCATTTTTTCATGTACCTGTTGGCCATTTGTATGTCTTCCTTTGAAAAATGTCTATTCAGTTCCTTTGCCCATTTTTTAAATTGGGTTATTTGGTTTTTTACTGTATAATTGCTGTAGTTCCTTGTATGTAATGGATATTAATCCCTTGTCAGATGCATAGTTAGTAAAAATTTTCTCCCACTCTGTAGCTTGTCATTTCACTCTCTTAATTGTTTCCTTTGCTGTGCAGGAAATTTTTAGTTTGATATAGTCCCATTTATTTATTTTTCCCTTTGTTGCTTGTGCTTTCAGGCTCATGTTCATACAGTTTGTGCCCAGACCTAGTTCCTGAAGTGTTTCACCTATATTTTCCCTTAG